GCTGGGTGCCGCGCTTGCGAGTTCAGCCGCTCGGGGGCGCCGGGGAGCAGCGCCGCGGGGCGCGGGCAGAGGGCGCGGGCGCTTTCTCAAGCGGCGCCTCGGTTACTGCTGTGGCTGAGACAAAATACCCAACGCCCGGGTTTAAAGTGGGGAAAGGTTTATTCAGCTCACAGGGTGTGCAGCTTTCGGTCCATACTCGGCCAGCTCCAAGGCTCACGGCGGCGGAAGATGCAAGAGCGCCTAGGGAGAGAGAGAGGCCTCTTGCTTTTTTCTTTTTTCTCCGGTACCGGGAATCGAACTCACGACCTCACGCTTGCCAGGCAGGCGCTGTGCCTCTGAGCTAAATCCCCAGCCCCCGAGAAGCCGCTTTCTACCCTCACATTTTGTACCCAGCCTACCGGCTGAGCGCGCCGGCTGTCGGGGGGCTGATCCGCCAGTCCCAGCACGCCCCATCCCGGCATTTCACTACCAGTCAGTCACATAGTCTAGGTTCAGCCACCACCGCAGGAGGCTCTGGGGGGACGTCCAGACGCCAGCCGTAGCAAGCAGTGTGGCCAGTGCCTGGCTTGGGTGACGGCTGGGTGGCCGGGCATCCAGGTGAGGACTGGCCGGGGTGTGGGCTCAGCGTGACCACAGCCGCTGGGGGAGACACGGGGAAGGGGATCAGGAGCGAGGGCCAGGAGAGGGAGGGGACCGTCACAGTCACCAGGGACAAGATGGCGCGGGCCTGAGCGCGAGCGTTCACCCCACCCACCACCACCCACCGGTCACGCAGGTACCTGTCCGTCCGTCCGTCTGTCCACCCGCCTGCCCACATCCCCATGCTCCCCCGCAGCCATGCGTCAGCTCGTGCGCGCGCCCCTCCATCCGTCCTCCACCCGGCAGGCCGCACACCCGCCCCCGCCCGTCACCTCCCCCGGCAGTGCCTGCTGCACCGACCCACCCCGTCCGTCCTCCACCGTCCCCCGCCGCCACCCCTTCACACCCGCACTGTCGCCCTCCTGTGCCCCCACAGGCCCGGCTGACCTGCTCGGGAACCAACACGATGCGGCAGGCAACACAGCTCCCGGTGAGGAACCAGCTGTCACCGCGCGGGCCTTGCCCCCTGCAGCCCCAGCTCGCCCCCAGTCTCCAGGACGGCGCGGCGGGGAAACCAGCGCCACGGCCGCAGCAGGCGCCCCCCGGCTCTGAGGAGCCCCCGCCCCGGCAGCCGGCGGTGCCCTGCCACGTGCCGCGCCTGCGGGCGGTGGTGGAGAGCCAGGCCTTCAGGAACATCCTGGTGGACGAGGTGGACATGATGCACGCGCGGGCGGCCACCCTCATCCAGGCCAACTGGAGGGGCCACCGGCTGCGGCAGAAGCTCGTGTCCCAGATGACGGCGGCCAAGGCCATCCAGGAGGCCTGGCGGCGGTTCAGCACCCGGCGCCTCCGCCGCTCCAGCAAGGTGACGGTGAGGAGGCGCTCGGAGGAGGGCGACATCCCCTACCACCCGCCGCAGCAGGTGCGCTTCGGGCCCCAGCCCCTCACGGCGAGCAAGGAGACGCCTGTCTCGGCCTCCGTCATCCTGGAGCCCTGCGCTCCCCGGCCGCTCTCCCTGCCGCCCCCAGCAGTCCAGGGCCCGCCAGCGCCCGGCGTGCGGGCTCCCAGCGCCCCCATGGCGGCCATCCTGCTGCACCAGGCCGTGGCCAGCAGCCTTCCGTGCTCAAGGAGCCTAGATCCCAAATGCCAGCCGTCCCTGGTGGCGACGAACGCCGTCAGGAGCCCCTGCCTCGTCAGCAGTCCTGTGGCGGAGGACACCGCGCAGTCCAGATGTGTGAGCTCCAGGGCCACCAAAGCAGGGGCCCCGGAATCACCCCTGTCGGGGAGGTGCTGCCAGGCAGCGTCTGCAGCCCCCGGGACCCAGGCCCAGGTGGAGGCGGAGCCCCTCAGAACCCCGGCCCAGACCTACGGCATGGCCTCGACCACCAGGGCCTCATCCCGGACGTACGCCGGGGCTGCCATAACCAAGCCCGCAGCCCAGACGTGCCCGGCACCCACGCTGACCAGGACACAACCCCAGACATGCCCGGCACCCACGCTGACCAGGACACAACCCCAGACGTGCCCGGCA